AAATGTGGAATAAGGATAAACTCTCTGCAAATAAGAAACTATATCAACAATATAAATTGAATATTCCTCAACAGTTTACAACCATGCTATCATTAACCACAATGAAAGATTCAGCTAAAGATAATTTCTTGTATAAATGGACATATAACAAGAAGGAATTGTATGAACAATTGATACAATACCAAGATGATGTTACTCTTACCTATACACTATGTTATCATGACTCATTTGGTGGACCAGCTCATGTATTTATTGATAATATTGGAGTTGGTAATATTGAAAAATCAGAATATTCAATGGGAAGTGGTGCATCTCCAATATTTAACAATATGAAAGATTCCAATGAGATATTTGGTGTATTCTATCATGATAGTATAAAGAAATATCAAGGTATTGAAAATCTAATATTATCTTATAACTCACAACCAGCTAGAGGTTATCAGTTTACCAAATCCAAAATTGAATACCATCTCATGTTTTATCCTGATAATTGGAATTTTACATTTCCAAATATCAATAATGAGACCAGTACTTTCCCAGTACCAATGGTATTCAAAAGAAATGTCTCTAGTGAAAACTATGAAATTTTTAGATTTGTACAATTTAAAAATAGTATTGATGAGAAATCTAAACAGGATATTTTACAGATGTGTAAGAAATATCAAGTTGAACCTGAACCATCCAATTATGCTGATACTAAATCTGGACATGTTACCATTGCAATCATTTGTGTAGTTATTGGAATTGGTATTATTCTATTAACTGTTAGTTTAGCAATCAATAGATATCATGCTAAACATAATTTAACCTATATTCAACATTCCAATAATAATAATGAAGATGAGGATTTAGAATCTTTTGATAAAGATTTTAAAAAATTTATGAATGACGAAAATGAAGAGGAGGAAGATAAATTGAATATATCAACATCATCACAATTATTATCAAATTCTAATACTGTAGATAGTGAAACTCAATCTGACTCTGTAACTAATAATGCAATTTTAACACAAAATATGGATGATGATTTAGAATAAAGTAAATAAATGTTTTAAATTTTAAAATTTTATGTTTGGTTAATTGTATTTTGGGAGATTAAAATAATTCTTAAAGATTATTATTACTATCATTTCAAAATTTAAATAATATCTTTTAGAAAATATTTTTTTTGTTTTTTTTTATTTTATCTTGTAACGAGATCAAAACAAAAACGCAAAAATTTTTTTTTTTTTTTTTTTTTAAATTTATTTTTTACAATTCTTTCTTTTATGAAAAGTGATAAACATAATATATATAAATAGTTTATATTTGAAGAGAAATAACTATACAAAGTATAAAAATTCCAACCCATTTTTAGATGGTTTTTTGGAAAAAAAAAAAAAAAAAAAAAATTTTCATAAACCATGAAAAAATCCAAGGTAAATAATATTTATATGTCAAATGTCAAACTAAAAATAGAAGTTGTTTTTCAAAAATGATCATAAAATATGATTGTTTGTCTTGAAAAAAAATTTTTTTAATTAAAAAAATGAAAATGGATATTTTTTAAATATTTTTTTACACATTTTATTGCGCAATCACTAACATTTTGGTTTAAAATGTAACACAATAATAATTGTTTATAGATTTGTTCAAAATGCGAAAAAGTTGAAAATAATGATGAAATAAATTTATTAAAATGTGTGGATTGTAGTAAAAGGTCACATATTTATTGTGTTGATCCACCGCTAAACAGAAAACCAAGAGGAGATTGGACATGTTCAAATTGTCAATCTAATAAATCTGATCAAATTAATGGAAAAAGAAAAGTTGGAAAGAAAAATCATCATAATATTGATGAAGAAGATGATAATGATGAAGAGGAAGAAGAGGAAAGCGATAATAATGATGATGATGATGATGATGAAGAAGAGGAAAAAGATAATAAAAAGGAAGTTTCAAATAAAAAAAAGAAACTACAAAAATAGAAAGAAAAAAAAGAAGATTGAAAAGAGTAGTTCTGAAAGTGAATCTGAAGAAGTAAGTGAACAAGATAATTCTGATTCTGAATCTAATAATTCAAGTAAAAGTAGTAGTAATAGTGGTAGTAGTAGGAGTAGTAGTGAAGATGAAACTAATGTAAATGGTAAAAGAAAAAGAATATTCAAGAAAAAGACAAAATCATCACCACCAAAATCTAAAAACAAAAAGAAAAAAGTAATCACAAAATCAAAAAAGAAATCAAAAAGAAAAGATTCTGATTCTGAAAATGATGATGGGGATGAAGAAAAACAAGAAGAAAAACAATCATCATCATCAGAAGAAGAGGAAGAAGAAAATGATCAAAGTGATAAATCATATAATAGTGGTTCTGAATCTGAATCAGATAGTGATTCATCAGATTCATTGGAAAATTTATTATGTAGTGCATGTAATTCTGGTAGAGATGAAGCAAAGATTTTATTATGTGATAACAAAATGAAAGGATGTTCACGTGGTTATCATATTTATTGTCTAAAAACACCATTAATCTCTATACCAAAAGGTAAATGGATATGTGATTTTTGTAAATTTGGTGAAGATATTACAACTGAAGAAAAGGATAAACAAGTTTTAGAATCAATTGATAAACTTTTAACAACATCACCATCATCAATATCATTAGATGGTAATATAAAAACTACAACACCACCATTAAGTGGTACATCAACTAAAACTTCACCAACCAATTCTAGACCAACATCACCACCAACCAATTCACAAAAATCCAATAGTAGTAAGGATAAAGAATTTAAATCTTTATTTATACCAAAAAATACCAAAAATTCATTGAAACCACCTGCACCAGTTAAATTTAAACAGTTAACTTCAAGTGGTGGTGGTTTAAATCAAAGTGGCAGTTCGATTAAACCATTAGGTTCACCATCAGTACATTCTAGTGCCAATAATATAATAATATCACCGGATATTAAAGGTAAACATTTACCTTCAAATGGATCACAACTTTCACAATCTAATAACCAAATTCCAAAAGATAGACAATCACCACCAAGTTTAAAATTATCAAATAATGGTAATAGTGATTTAAAAAAATCAAATATTGGAATGAATAAGGATCCAATTAAAAAATTACCATCTCCACCACCTGGTAATAATAGTACTACTATTAAAACTAAAGATGATGATTCATCACATTCCATTTTGGATATGATACCAAGTAAGACTTCTTCTACTTCTTCTATAACCACTTCTCCAACTTCAAATGTTACATTTCCAATATCATGGGATTTATCATCTTCATCAAAAAAAGAATCTCCACTTCCTTTGCCACATATAATACGACCAAATAATAGTAATAATAATAATAATAATCTTAATAATAATCAAATGATGGATATTGATAATAATGAATTAAAATCTAATAATAATAATCCATTAAAAAGATCATTATCAACTTTTGAAAATGGAAATATAAATAATAATAATAATACATATAGTAATTATAATATTACAAAAAATCAATTCCCAATTAATAATAATAATAGAATTAAAATGATTTTTGATGATCATTTTACTTGTAATGTTTATTATTCAAAATTTCAAGATTCTGATGGTTTTAAATTTATAGATCAATTTAAACAACAACAACATCAACAACCACAATTTAATTTTGAAAAGTTACTAATTTCAGAATTATCAATTTCAATTAGAGATGAAATTCAAAAGATTTTAAATCATCAATATACTAGTGATCAATTAGTATTTAATCTTCAACCAGAATTTCAAAATGATAATTCATTTTATAATTTAATATTAAAATTGAAAAATAATCAATTAGTTGGTATAATTGATAATAATAATGATAATAATAATTCAATAATGTATATATTTCCATTTAAAAATAATAATAATGATTTTAGTTTAATAGGTTTAATTTCAAATAATAATAAGAAATTAAAAATTAATAATAATATAACAAATAATATAACAAATAATAATATAATTCAATTATCAACAAAAAATATTTGTTTTTTAGGATTTGAAAATGCAATATCAACAAATATTATATTTAATTTTACTAGAAATCTATTAGAATTGGGTGCCAATGTTTTAGATATTCAAGATTTAAAAAAGAAACCAATAGTTGATATATTTGTTATAGTGGATAGACAATATATTAGTAAAAAACTTTATCAAGAATTTCCAGAAATTAATTTTTATAAACAACAGAGTAATGTAATGTTTATAGAGGGTTTGGGTTATTTAGATAAATTAATTCAGTATCATAAATCTACAACTCCACCACCAATGATACCAGTAAATCAATCTATATTATTTAATTTGGATTACTCTTTATTTATCATTGATAATAGTATAATCATTGAAAATGAACTTTTATTTACACAAATGTTACCACTACTCTGGAAATTAAAATCTCAAGGTAAACATTGGGTCATTAAAATCTCTGATAGTATTTTTGAAGAATTGAAACCATTCTCCAATCAGAGTAATATTAAAAAGAAACTCTTGGATCTACAATCATCTATGGATAAACAGGTAATTGGTCTGTGTAGTGAAAATATTGGAAGTAGTAATCAACAAGTAACCTCTCCAAAAACTGTGAATGATTTTATGTTATTCACTTTGAGGCTGTCACTTTCACCTCAAATTAATAACTTTAGAAATGTAATTTTGGTTAGCTCAAACAAGATTATAAAAAATCTCTCTAAAAAGTTTCATTCCTTTTTATGTTTAGATCTAATGGAGACTATTAATTTCATTTTAATTAATAAATAGATTGAATATATCTACATTTTTTAGATCTGTTTTTTATTTAAATGCCTACACCAAATACTCTTTTTTTTTTGTTTTTTTTTGGTCCAAAAAAATGCGCCAGTAAAGTCTTAATTACGTTTATTTATTGAGAGGTATTATCTGTTAAAATTGTGTTGTGGTGTTCAATGGTATTTATCTTTAATTTTTTTTTTTTTTTTTTTTAAAAATTTAAAAAAAAAAAAGTTTGTACTCTGAGGGACTCGAACCCTCGCGTTTTCACATTGCAGCCTTAATGCAACCCCATAACCAACTCGGGCAAGAGTAACTGAATAATTGCAGAATTTTTTTCACCATATTTATTTACAAAAAATTTTTGTTTTGTATAATTGTAAGAATCTATCTTATTACTTCTTACCTATTTAAATACCATAAATATTATTATAAATTCAATACTTTATTAAATCATTATAAATAAATAGTTAGTTAGTTCATTTTTATATCTTAAATTATAGTTAAGAAAGTTGTATCTCTTACAAGATTATAAGATTGCTCCTTACCAAGTTACACAAGAGTACAGTATAAAATTTTACATAAAAGGTAGTCAGACTTAAATTGTTTAAAGAAAGTAATGACAGGAAAAACAATAGGATCAATACCTGAGTCTTCCTCAGAGGCTACATAGGCAAAAGAAGCAAAATTTATAAATTTTATTGATTACTCAAAGTGATGGTAAATAGACAGTAAGAGACTGAACCATTGAAAAAGCATCCTGATCAAAACGATCAAATTTAGAGAAACTAAAATTGAGGAGTCTCAAGTGGGTTAAAAGTTTAGAGTCTTTGATGATCCAATCAACTAATGACCAAGGTAGAGCAGTTTGAGAAGATAAATCCAATTCACGAAGATTAGGTGTTTGTTCCAAAATCTTACGCAAAATAGGTTCTTTAAATTGACAACCAGCTAAAATCAACTGCTGAATATTGTTGAGATATTTGAAAACTTTGGAATCAACACTGGTAATGGCAATACCACAATAAGAGATATCCAAACTAATTAGATTTTTGGATTCTTGAAGAATTTTAGCAAGTTGATATTCAGAGACATTAGAGGCAGCAATTTGAAGACAAGTCAATTTTGGACAACCTTTAGCAACCTTGTAATAGGTAGCATCACTACTAGAGACTTCAATACACCAACTGGCATTGAGTAGTTGTAACTGAGGAAGAGCCAATGTCTTTATAGCAGAGGTAGTTAATTTCTTACAATGACTAACATCTAGATGGTGTAAATTTTGAAGTTTTAATAGTGATTTTACACATTGATCAGTTAACAACTGACAACCACCGACCAATAAACTTTTTATATTAGGATAGTGAGTAGCTACAGATGCAATAGTTTGATCATTTATATTGGTATAGTACAAGTTTAGATATTGCAATTGAATTTTTCTATTTTGAGCCAAATGTTTTAAGAAATCACTTGAAACTCCAGTACAAAATGAGAGTTCTAAATTTTGTAAATGGTTATATTGTGCTAGATTTTGAATACTAATATCTGTTATCCTAGGTAATCCTGATAAATCAATATCTTTAATTTGTTCCAATTCTAAATTTAAACTTGTAATACTATTATTACTACTATTATTACTATTATTTGTTAAATTGTCTGATATATTATTATTTACATTATTATTATTATTTGGTGATAATGAATCAATATTTGATTGTTCTAAATGATTATTATTATCATCATCAAAACTATTACTACCACCACCATTATTATTACTATTAATTGAAGCAATTGAATTTTGATTTGTTACAGGTGAACTACTATTATTAGTTGTTGTAGTATTTTGTAAATTTTGACTAAAATTATTGGTATTTTGAATATTATGAATGATATTACTATTAGATAATATAAAAATTTCACCAAAAATCTTAAAGAATTGATCATCAACTAAATGTTTACGTTTAGCCAATGATATAAATTCTTCTCTAATATCTGTAATTTCATAAATTTGTAAAACTTTTTTTGGTATTTTATCATGATTTCTTAGTAAATAATTAAAACATAATTGTTTTAATGTTGGTATATCATTTTCATTTCCCATCACCTTATAACTTAAATTAATAGAAAAAAAAAATGAAATTAAAATTAAAAAAAAAAAATTTTTTAATTTTTTTATTGGATTTTCTATTTCATTTTAATGAATAAATATTTTTTATATAAAGTTTAAAATAAAAATACATTAAAAGAAAACCAAAAATTAAAAAACTATTCATTATTTACAGAGTCTAATTGTTAAAGATTACAATTTTTAGATCTAAGCGTAATGAAACATTATTTTAAAAATATTATTATTAAAATAAATTATTTATTATCTGTCTATATCTTCATTTTTTTAATTATTCTTTTTTGAATTTGATTTAACTGTTGATATTTTACTTTTTAATAATTCAATTTTGTTTTCATCCTTTTTAATTAGATATTCTTGAACAGAAGAATCAATTATTGAAATGATAAAATAACTAATCATTACAGCCAAAACACAATCCCAAATGACACCAACTAATGATTTACCAGCGGTGGTAACTACATTACTATTGAGTTTTTGTCTTTCCTTTTCGAGTAGGGGTTGAATTTTACCAGTTGCCCATGGAATATAATATTCAATCAATGTGACAACAGTAGCTAGAGTTTCGACATTAAACATCAAAATTACAAAACAGGCTTGTAAATGAGCCTTAATCACTGCTTTACCTATAAGAGTGGCACCAAAGAATTTCCAAAATGGTACTAAAAAGTGACCACATGTCAAACCTGCCAAATCAAATAGTGGATTGGGTATAGAGGCAAATGCCAAAATACCAAAGAATCCCAAATTTCCAATCAATGATGGTACTTTGGCCGATAATTTACCGATAAAGGATTGATCAGCTTCGTCTTGTCCAGTTGTTGATTTTTTTTGGTCCTCACCTAATCTCATTCCTTTTAATCTGGCAGTTCTTGCTACAAAATAGGGTGGTAATTCACCAATTGCTGTACCAGCACCCCACATTAGTGCTGCAATTTGTACTTTTTGAAGTATATCCAAAAAACTAACTCCACCTACCACTGGATCATGTGGATTTATAAAGCTATCTAAACCATAGGTTTTAAAATTGGTTGATTGCCATTCTGTTGCTGCCAATGTAACTTTGGCAATATGTGGTCCCAAATATAAAACAAATGTATGTAATCCTGTACCTAATCCAACTGATGATAATATACCTAATCCAATCCACCATAAACAAACACTAAAAAATTCAGAATATTCTCCTAAATACTATTATTATAATAAATACATTAATAAATATTAAAAATAATTTAAGTGTCTTCTATAGTACTACTTTTTGATGATTACCTGGAGTATATAAAATTAAAAGTACTAATGATATGGGTAACATTAAAGAGAATAATAATTTTGGTCTAGTTTGAAAGAATTTAATTCCACTCATTAACATATCTGCAATCACATATCCAAAATATTTAATTGTCTTAATTGGGTGAAAAAATAATCTAACATGTTTTCTATTCTCTTTTCTCTTTTCTAATTTTAATATCTCTTCTTGAATGGCTTCGTCACCATGTAATATTCTTTTTTCATTACCCATATCACACAAATATATTAATTAATATGACAGGTGTGTGAATTGATCAAAAAAAAAAAATTAAAAAAAAAAAAATAAAAAAAAATATTGTAAATAATATCAATATATAAATATTAATATCCTATTAATACAAGTTTTCTCACTCCTTTTAATAGTTTTATTTAAAAAATATATGTTAAAACAATAGATAATCTTCAATCCATGGAAATTACAGATATTTCAACTGCTATTTTCAAAATATGTTGGAAATGTTAACTTTAATATTAACAATGAATTTTACAATTGACATATCACTTGGAATCAAGTAGCCATTGTTAACCGTGAAATGCTCAAGAATGTTTACATTAGTTGTACATAATATATTATTTAATTAACAAAATTTTTTTATTCATCATCTTCTTCATAATCTTGATTTTTATCTTCTTCATCTTCTTCCTCTGTTGATTCTATAGATTCTTCAATTTTTCTTTTTGTACCTTTGGAAGTTGATTTCTTTAATGATGAAGTTTGTTTTTTCTTTTTTGGTGTTTCTTCATCAGAACTGTCCTCATCTTCAGTGCTCTCAATTGAAACAAGAGATGATTGTTTCTTTTTGGCTGGTTTCTTAACAGGTTCATCATCAGTATCATCACTGTCAGATTCAACTTTCTTTTTCATTGGACTTTTTTTAGGTTTTTCATCTTCACTTGAATCTACTGCCATCTTGGATGGTTTTGATTTTTTAGTAGATTTTTTATCATCTTCCTCTTCATCATCGTCACTATCATCTGAAATTTTCTTTTTGGCACTTTTACTTATTACTTTCTTTGGAACTTTCATTTTTTTAGCAGGTTGTCGAGCTCTTTTCTTTTCTGATTTATCTTCATCTTCATTTTCATCTTCATCTTCATCTTCATCATCCATGTCATCATCATCTTTTGATTTCTTTTTCTTATCATTATTATTATTAAAACTAAAACTAAATGGTGCTGTAGTTGGTAAACTACTACCAAAAGTCATTGTTGGTAATGATGGTAATGATGTTGGTATTGATGTTGGGAATGTAAATGCAGAAGGAATTACATTATTATTATTATTATTATTTGGATTAAAAGTGATTGGAGTTGATTGAATTACTACTTTTGATGGTCTTTGACTACTTGAAGATTTCTTTTTGGTAGTTGGTACACCACCAGCATTTGAGACAACAGTAGCTGGATTTGGAGCTTCAATATTCCAAACTGAATCACCAATAAAATTAACCATTTGAATAAGTCTCTTTTTGGTTTTATGTGTTTTTTTAAAGTTATCCAAGAATTTAGTCCAAATAGATTCTAAACCCAGTGTTACAACCATTCTCTTTTTAAAAGATTTCAACATGGCTAAGAAAAGTGGATATTGGGATTGAAGAATGTTTACCAATAACATTTCAGTGGCCTTTTCAAACATGTCTTTAATTTCAGTTGGGAATCTTTTTTGTACCAATTCAAAGAGTGGATCAAGTTTTTCTGGTTTCCATTCTTGATAACAACGTTTGGCATATTTCTGTACTAGAGGTAAGACTTTAACCAAGAGGTTAATGGCATATTGGTCTACACTAGAGTACAAGTTCAATAAGAGATTTAGCTGTTTGGCAAGTTCATCTTCATCCAGTGATGGGTGTGGGAAGATTTCAATACACTGTTCAAACAAACCA